GCACGGGGAGCAGAGCTGCATGGAGCAGGCCACATGGCCGGGCCGAAGCTTGGCTCGCGCGGCGACGCTTTAATTGTTTTAGCTGTTGCCTTCCCATTTATCGATGAGAGTTCTGCTGTGTTAATGCATATTTTGTTGTTCGGTGACTCACCCTTCACTGTATCTCTCTAATAAGAAGCGTTCATTTAACAGTTTGGCTACTTAACAATTTATTGCATAAATGGGTTTCCATCCTGCAGCCTTCTCCCCTAATGAGGGCCATGCATACTTTATGAGAGCTCTGCTCTGCTCTGCAGTAACTTGGGCTCTTTTCCGCTCGAGCCCAGGGAAGAGGAGACGCCCGTGACATCAGAGTGATGCCAGGGCTCTGCGGGGCCACGACGGGGAGTCTGCAAAACCCCCAGCTCACAGACTTCCAAGCCAAGCTGCACGAATAGAAAATTGCTTGAGTGAACTGTTAAAAACCAACAGCTTTTGTGGGTACCAAAACACATCTTGAATAGCCAGAATCACTACATGGGCGTGATACTGCAAACCGAGGAGCTGTAAAGATGCTCAGCCCTTTGCAGAATCCGGCCAAAATGAATACCTACCATGGCTCTCTTCTCGTTCCCACTGAAATCAATAGCAAAAGCACCAGCGATGCAAAAAGCTTAATGCTTTACAGGGCACTCAGTGAAACAATCAAACGCGAGCAAAGCCGAGCCCCGCAGAAAGGAGCTCCGCATCTTCCCGGGAAGGGCTGCGGGATTGCAGTAGCAGAATTAATTTGCTTAATCGTTAAGAATAAAACAAAAACAAACAAACAAACAAACAAAAAAACCCAAAAAAAACAAAAAAAAAGAGAAAAAAAACCCACAAAAACACAAGCAAAATCCAACACAATAACAAATCTCTAAGGGGAAAGGGAATTGTTTCTCCGTTAACTACATTGAGACAAAGCACTGGGAAGAAAAATGTCCAGTTCCAATAATGTCATAACCTGATTACAGCCTGCACAGAACAGCTAAAACACTTGCAGAACAATGAGTAAGAAATTAAGTTTCAAATTGAGTGCTGGTCCTATCTTGTGTCACTTCTTGATGCTCTAGCAGAAAGGACACTGCTGAGCACATTTCACATCCTGCAGCCTGAGATGCCTCAATGCAGACATCATTTAGTCATCTCATATATGTTTTTCCCCCCACTTCTTTCTCCAGGAGGAATGACAAATCTAGAAATGTGACTGCACTTTGTTTTATTATGATATTGATTTTTGCTGCCAAGGGAAAGTGCATTTATCCCCTAGGTCTGCGTGCTGGCAAGAAAGGGTTAAGAAAATGTTTATCACAAAGCTGGCTTCAGAGTTGAAAGTAATGTGATCAGTAATGAATTTTGTGTTACATTAGGTTGTATAAATGGACAGACAAGCGCAGACAACAAGTGGCCAGGAGTCGGGGCTAATCTAATGATGTAAAAATAGAGACAGCACCAATTATACTTGGGGCCAGCTCAGAGCTCCTGCAGGGACTGCAAATGAATAGGTACAAATCAAATTACTGACTAATAGACGCACTACAAGAGAGGGCAGTCAATGCTAAATACATTAGGGCCTTGTGACCTCTCTGCTCTGAACAGCAGAATCCTAAATTTGACTTAAAAAAAATCAAAGAAACTCTTGTTCATTTAAAGAGAGAAATGGAACAATGTTATTTGTGAAATGATTTGAAGCACTCGGGTATTTTTTGTTTTGTTCCTCTATGGCCACTCTACGCCTGTAACCCCGTGAAATCTGGCAGAGAGATTACGTTTAAAACTAGAAGAAATATTTTGTGTGCAAAAGGAAAGACCTGAGAACAATACAGTTATGTTACATACCAAAACATTTCAAAGCCATGTGCCTCTTTGTAGTGATGCTTTTTACCGCTACTTCACCGGCTGTGTCTGCATCAAAAATAAAAAAGTTCTTAAAAAAAAAAAAAAAAAAGAGCCTTGGTTTAATAATAAGAAAATTAAACTCCCCAAACCAAAATTGATTATAAATAAATGCAATTGCCCAAATTCTTATCAAATGTAGAGTATCGGCACTCTCTTTACAGACATCAGATGTTTCCTACCAAGAAGGGACTGCAGCTCCCACCAGGAATGTCTGTGGCATCAACATCCGTCCAACCCCCCTTAAGAAAGTCCGGCACAAATGGCACCGAACGGCCGCGGGTGCCGGGGCTGGTGCCCCGTGCGGGGTCCGCACTCCTGGCCATGGTGGGCAGCAGCCAGGACTGGGTGGCTGGGGCATCATCAGGGAGTTATAAAGGTGCTGGTGGCCCCAGGATGGGTGTCCCCGCGGCTGGAAGCCCGTGTCGGGTGTCCAATGGCCTTGGCGTGCACGAAGCCCCGGGGAACAAGCACGGTGCCGGAGGATGAAGGCCATTTGCTGCCTGTTGCATGCGAGAAATCACTAAATTCAACACGTTAAAATAAGCCCAGGCAACACATGCTCTCCTCACTCAGCTCTGCAAAACATGGCGGCTCTTGAACACCCTTGAAATTTCATTTCTTTTAGAAGCATCTCATTGTAATAAGCCTTTTGTAGGAAGAGCTGCATTGAGCTCCTGGACTTATTTGAGGGGGTAATTTAATCTCTGACCCTGGGATGAATATTCCAAAAGCTCAAAGGCTGCTTTTAGCATCGCTGCTATTTGATATGCCAGGGCACTTGCTGCCCGCTGCTGCTGAGGTACCAATGAACCTGTGCAGAAACCTGCCCGCAGAAATGCTTTTTGGGGGAAAATCAACAGTTCTGTGCTGCGTTCCTATATCCTGAGTCCCCGTGAGAATTAAGGAAAACAGAAGGGGTGGTGGAAATTATCTTAGTAGAATTAAAAGGAAGAGGAAGGAAAGAAAGAGGGAAGGAAGGAAAGGTTCTGATTCAAGTTCTAACTCTGTCTAGGGCTAATCCTATTCTGCAAACTAAATGTGCAGATACTTTTTGGTACTGGTGGCTGCTCATCTGAACACGGCTTCTGATGACAGGCATTTTCTCTTCTGGAAAAAAAAAAACAGCATCAGAAGATTTTTCCTGTGCGAGGATCAGAGGGAATCGCTCCTTCCTCCTTTCAGGCAGATGAATACCCTTCTGACCCGCACCAGGCATGCAATAAAGCTTGTGACTTCACTTCTTGTCAAGAACTTCAGATTTAGACCCAGGCTCCGAATTTCACATAAAGATTTCAAAAACTTCCCCTTGCAGAGCTCAAAGGTGTCAAGCCCGGAGTTTGGTGCAGGCCACCGTGAGCATCTGAGAGCCAGATGGAGCGTGTGGCTACGGAGCGAGGGCAGCTCCTGAGTGTCCCAACGCGGAGCCACAGCCGGGCCGGCCCCACCGGCCCCTCCAACCAGCTCCACCTGCTCAGGTGCCATTAATCACATTAAAGAGCTCGTTTCCAAACAGGAGCTTCGTTCGTCACACAACGGGTTTGTGAAACTCCAGAGCGGTTTTGCTGCTTCTGCATCTCACCTCTCACCAACTCTCCAACACTGGTACTCAGAAGTGCAGTTTTGCAGGGAGTTTGGGAGAAAGTGAGATATGCCATTTTTTTCTTTTCCTTTTTTTTTCTTTTAAACTGAAATTCTGCTCACATTACAACGGGCTTAAACCGCTTCCCTTTACATCCTATCCTAAATCTTCAAATCTTGGGGGTTTTCTTGACTATGTTGGTGTCATATTTAAATCTTTCCCTCTGCAGACACTGCTTCTGGGTTGCAACATTTGGGGGATGTTCTGCAGTCTTTTAAGACAAGTTTTCAGTGGAAGTTCAATGTATTCCTGATACAGGATTGGTAGAGAAAAATGCTGTTTTCCTGCATAAACTGAAGTATAAACTGAGCTAACGCAAGGCACTGAATTTCATGATGAATTAAAAAAAAAAAGGATATATGCCCACAAAGAAAAATCTTACTCATCTATGACGATGGAACAGTTCCAACACTTGTAAAACATTGCAGAAATGTGGATTTGGGTAATCTTTGTCAAAATAAATTAGATACAACTACAACATAAGGGCAGCCAAACAAATTGTAACAGGGAAGACACAGCAGACAGGCACCAACTGCAACCACAAACTGAATAAAACAGCAAGGCAGGCTCTGATCTCTGGAGTTGCATCCACTCCTACGGCACCCAGCGATCGAGCCGCAGAACCGGGCTGACAGCAGCCCCATCTATTCCTAAGGAAGTTTGTAACACTGCCTATCCTGACAAAATTAACCGAACACTTATTTGTTTTGCCTAGGTTTAACATACATTAAAGCTCTTGTGCCGAAGGACAGCACAAGGTTGGGCTGAACTCCCCGGATTCAGTGTATTTAGCTCTTACTGCACTGAAACACAGAAGGGCCACAGAAATAGCCTCCCTCGGCTGCATCTGAACACGAACCATCCACCGCACTGGAAGGGGCTTGGCCTCATATTATAGACTAATTTTCAATTTTATGCCTAGAGATGACCAAAATGCATTTGAAAGCTTAAGAAATGCACTTATTGCACTTACTGAAGGACTAAATAAATCACAGGATTTACTGATTGCAATAATTTGGAAGGAAAGAACTCTAACCCAGGCTGGTAATTTCTGTATGACAAATTTGAGCCAATATTGTCAGAGAGATTTGTTTCCTGGCAGCACAGTTTATCAAAATACTATTTTTTTTTTTGAGAATGCAATGTGAAGCCAGAGCACAAACTCATTTACATTGCAAATGTAAATATTGTGGCTGCTGGAAAACAAAGCTTTGCAAGAAAAAGAGGTCACTGACCACTAACATTTTGTGAATAGACCTTTTTTTTTCAGTCAGAGTCTCACAGAAACAGCAAAAACATCTTCTTGCATCTTTGCCAATTTACGCCTTCTTTGGAATTAAATGTGTATCTAGGCTGACAGCTTATGTACAGCAGACTCCACTTAAGATAGACATGGGTTGTCTGGATAATTGGATAACAAGGAGAAGAGCTGGTTTCCCAATCAACTCAACTAGCCGTATGACTGGAGTTATCATTTAGGTCACAGGCAAAGTAGATTTTTGGGGGGTCATTTTCCAGACCTGGTTCTTCTCCCATCCACTGTCCGACAGCCCTTGGCAACTAGCCCGAGTCCTAGACGGAGAAGACCCATTAGGTCATGACTCCCCTTCCCTGCAGACATAGGAATTGCTCCTCATGGTTTCAATGTCCTCTGCTTGGATGTTTCCTTACAGAGCCCCTCGTGGTGCCCTCTGCAATGGACAGGAGTGGGGACTGCTGAGCCAGTGCTGCGTTGCTAACGCTGCTTTCAGTGCAAACTGCAGGTCAGAACAGAAAAACTGCTAATATCCACCGCCCAAAATGGTCTGCGTATTATGAGCATGAGTTTCCTCTGCACTACTGAGGCATTTCAGCCCTGAATACTATATAAATCTGCCAGCTATGTCCTAACAGTTAAGGCATTAAAAGAATCTATTTATCTCTTGCCATGAAGTGTGTGTCAGGACCAGTTGTGCACTTGATAGCGTCTCACTGTCCATCTTATTTCTCATTTTACTTTGTACACGTAGTAGATCTGAGCCCCACACAGGCACATATATTCACATTTAGCACTAAAAATTTTTGTTATTTTACGGTTCCGTTCAAGTGAGACTTTGTGGGCTTCATTAAATTTCTGTAAAATGTGTTAAACACTGTGTGGAGAGAATTCAAGGAGCACAAACAGGGGTTAAAGGCATGCAAGACTCCGACTTGTTAGGATGTCCGGGGCAAGTTCAAACAATCCTACCTATTCAGAGCCAGCAAAGACACCTCACCTCTGAAAGCAGGGCTAATGTACCTCCAAACTTATCTGGTTTTATTTACCACCAGCAGCCAGCTGCTAGTGCTTTAATGCCACCCCTGCAAGCAGCTGCCTTGGGTGAGACCATGCGTGTTGGGAGCCAGTGCTCGCCCGCCTCGCAGGCAAGAGGAGCCTTCCAGGTATCATCTGAGCAGCACTGGGATTTTTATGGCCATCTGGGAGGAAGAACAGTTCAAGAGTAGGTAGGGGATGAAAGCAGAAAGGACATGGGACTTCCCAGCCTTATCAAGAGGTATCCTCTGCTGCACCAAGTTATCCTGTGCCCAAATCCCGAGAATAAAACGTTAGTGATAGCGAGAGCCCTGCGTAGGCAGAGGAACACAGAGCATAAGAACGATAGAGACAGCAGGGTAGCAGGATTAGGTGAGTTGAGTTAATGCTCTTGTTAACTCACTACTGCACGATGCTGCTTGTGTTTGCTACTTTGAAATGGTGCATCTTCTACCCTCCCTATGAACATTGTGTAGCTGGAGTAAAAGAGCAGAGGGAAATCTCTCTGGAAGAATTTTAGCTCAGTGATGGCATCTCTTTATAAACAGCTCTGTCTTTATATAGAGAGACCTTGAATGTTGTGAACCTTACGCCAAAGCAGCTGGCACTGATCTGTGCTGGTGAAAATGGAAGGCAAATCTATACCTGTATCTCTGACCTCTATCTTCACTGCTCATTTTTCCATCTTCTCAGGGCTTTGAAAACATGGCCTGATTAAACTCCACATCACCATTGAGAAGCATCCCTATCCTTATGGCAGTGATGCAGCAGCTGAGTCAAGGCAGGTTAAGTGCCTTGTCCAAGGCAGCAAGATGATGAGAATGAGCACCAGATCTGGGACTGTGACCCATACTGAGCATCCAGCCAACCTCCTTCGCAAACACCCAAGTCCTTGGAGCCCATCTTTGCTCAGCACTAGCAAATCAGAGGTGGACGGGCTGAAAGAAGAGAAACTGGGGCCATGAAAGTGGCTTCTGGCCTGCTCAGCAGCCTGGTTACTGCCATTTGTACCTCCATAGAGCAGGAGCCTGAACTCCGACTGCTTCTTCTTGGGAGGCAGCAGCAGAATGGCCCTGCTGTGGGTTAGATGCTCCGTAGTGACCCATCTGCTAAGCGAGGGTGACAAGTCTTGATGGGGGAGCCCTCGAGTCTTCTCCAGCTGGAGCAGTGAAGAGCAGGGAGAGCTCCATGCAACACCAGCCCTCAGCAATACGCGAGGGCAGCAGCTGACAACGAGGAGACAGCTTCCACTCTCTGAAGCCTTCCATAATGTCAAAAGGTTGGCATACCCATACATTATGCTAAAGCTTGCTCTTCTTTTTTTTTTTTTTTTCCTTCCTAGGCAGCTTGCCAGAACAGTGACAAGTGAGTTGGCAGCTGATGTTAGAAGCTACCATTGCTATTAGCTGCTGGTCACAACACAAATGGTGCATGGATCAAAGATGGACTGAGCCCTTTTACTAGCGGGCATTTTTAAAACAAGTCAAAATTAATGGAGACAATAAAGCCACAATAACTGCACTTTGCCATTTCTGAACATTTCCTACCACGAGGCCCCTCGGAGCTGCATAATCTCTGACGTGCCATTCCATTTATTTAAACAGATGATATAATTTATCAATATAATGGACACTGATGAAGACGGATTAATTTGGATTACAGAACCAGCACTTCACAGTGTCTATTTAGGACACCAAATTAGGATGTGTGTGATGATGACGTTGTTGTGAACAGCGTGGGCATAGGCAGAGATCTGCACAAGGCTGATGGTGCTCTTGGGAGGAAAGCGCTTAACAGGGCAATGCAGGAAGGAGGCTTCAAATGTCAGTGTTTATCTTCAAGTTACTTTAGGCTTCTCAGACTACATCTATGTGATCTAGCAACATTTTCCTCTTTGTCGCACTAGAGGAGAGCCCACAGAAGTTAATCAGTCACAGAAGAAGCAAGCTGAGAAAAGGGGAAGCGAAACTTTAACTAGTTAACAACACAAAACAAAAAATCAAAAATCACCATTGGGTGAGATGTACGTGATCTCTGATCACACCTCTTCTTTGTACCTGTTCCTGATCCCACTATGTCCCTGCTGGGCGACTCGCACATCGCGTCGGCCAGGCGCTCTCGGAGGCCCTCCTCGGTGTGCTCCAGGGAAGACATGTGGCGCAGGCCGAAGTTCTCGGGCCAGCTCCCGCACACCTCCAGCAACGTCACGCTCCGGTCATAGGTACCTTTAACAGACAAACGGGAGACGTCTGGTAGACCTCAGGACCAAACTTCTTCCACACATATCATTTATTGCAATGGTTCATTTGAAAGAAAGAAGACCTCGCGTTCTGAGCTCCTGGAAAGCTCATTTCAGCCCCTTAATTCAAATGTTGATGCTGAAGCAGAGGAGGAGCAAGCGGAGCCCTAAGAACTGGACTGCTCGACCAAGCAGCTGTAAGCAAAAGAATTAAATGAGAAATACAGATCCAGTTCTGCTCTCACACCAGTGAGAACCAGGAGCGGTGCCGCTGAACTCAACCCACCGACACCGGGGCAAACGACGACAGACTCGGAGCTGAGCTGCTTTAGAATTGCATATAGGTTATTAAGCACATCCTAGACAACTAGGAACTGGTTTTGAAGTTGACTTGTGAGGAACAGACTGCTTGCTGGCTATATCATGTTTTAAATATGTCTACAGAACAGGAAAAGCGAGCCTTTCTTTCAGACCAGATTATATGTGGATCTTCTGTGTTCCTGCGAAGTTTTAGGTCAAATTTGAGCTAAGAGTCTCTCATCAACAGTGTTTTATTTAAGATGCTGGCTATTATGATAGCACCTACAATAGAGACATAAAATAACTCCCAACTTGTAGTTATTTCCTAAGTTAAAATAGCATACAATGTTTTGCTGAATGCAAAAACTAGACTCTGAATCCAAGACCCCTTCAAAGTGCAAACTAAAGTTATTCTACTTTATTATACAGCGAGTCTCCTGCGAAGGCTTACTGAAATCACTCCCACTTGGAGCAGGATTACAGCTAGGCTTTGTTGCTCCAAGCACATACCGTTTACTCCGCTATTAGGTAACTGAATATGCAGCGTTTATTGTGCCTGGTTTCTGCCAGCCTACCGAGGGGGGAAAAATGCAAATGCCAATGTTTCTCAAAGTTAAAAGTACATGAAACACGTCCTTGTTATCAGGCCTTTGGTTTTCCCCTTTGATCAGCCGTCAGAAACTATCTCCACTCGCGCGCTGTGACTGTACAGCTTCACAGCACACTCTCTGCCAATGACAGGTGGTAATAGAAAGGGTGAGAGACCAAGCCCCGCGGCAGGCGTCCCTTCCTCTGATAACGGCCAAAGTACCGGGTGATAACCGTTAGTAAACACTCGGGCAGCCGGTTAATCCATACATCAGCAAAGAGGGGCAGATAATTTTGAACTCTAATGGCACGGACAAAAGCACCAGGGCTGGCATGCAGGGATTTATATGGGCTGCAACGGTGACTCGTGGCTCCTGAATTTCATCAGCGCGCACGGCTTTGATTTATCGCTCCGCCTGGCCGCAGAGGAGATTCCTGGCACTAGAAAACCATCAACACTAAATGGACTCTACAGACCAGGCCGGGGCTCTTGGGCGACGCGCGCACTTGAACCCTGGACGCGCCCCAGGTCGAGCCGCGAGGGCTGACCCAACATCTCCACTTTCTAACTGGGGCTTCAGATTCAGAGGGTTGCTCCAGTCCACTAGTTGGTTTGAAAGAAAGGGGTTTGGGGGCCTGTGTGAGAAAATGCTGTGAGGTTAAGGAGTCTCTGTTGTATTTAAGTTTCTGCAACACCTCCATGTTGTCAGATTTCCTAATTGCAGGCAGAAAAGCGAGATGTGGTCTTTTTTGACTTGATTCTTTCTGTGTTTTCAGAAGAGCATGAGACCCTCCCTCAGCTTCAACTCTGTTAAGACTCCACTGATTTCGGTCATTTTTGATGGGGCTGCTTAAGTACCTGGATAGCTACCGAGAAGGCTTTTAAATGTGACCGCAGGAGGCCGGGGTGGCAGCAGGCAGGTACTGGGGAGCTCCCGCGGGTGCTCGGAAATCTGCTCTTCCCTCGTGTCTGCTCTTATTTTGAAAGTGAGAAATGGGAGCATTTCTGCTCCTATAAGCAGACATATGAATAATAAGGCAAATGGTTTTTGAAGCTCTGCCAAGATGACTGCATACGTGTGCAACGAGAAACTTCATGGAGTGCTGGCCCTCTGGTTGCAGAGATACTTGAGCGAGAGCAAAGGAGACAAGTGTAGCATTACCTCGGCAATCAGGGCCGGGAGCTGCCAGAAGTCCTTAGCAGCAACGTGTGAGGTGCAAGTGTTAATGTAAATGCAGGTTTGAGGGATTAACTGCACAGAAAGCTTGTAAAAAAAAAAATCCAAAGGGCTGGGGAGGCTCTGGTTTTATCTTTCCTCCTTTTTCACTGCTTTTCCATGTTATGTGCCTGGCACTGGCAATATGCTTCGTGTTGCTCCGTGAGGCCGAAGGGCTCTGTGCTCCGCGCTGGGTCCAGAAACCTTTTTCTGCTTTTAATATTGGTTCCATGTAAAGGCGAGTATAAAGTAGGGCCTTGCCTAAACCAGAGAGGTCATTTTGGACTGAGAAGCCCAAACCACGAGAGCTCTGCCTTGCTCCAGCATGCAAAAAGCTGTTTGAGGCCAAGCCAGAGCAGTTGCATAGGACCTTCCCGTTCTGCTCGCCACTGCCAACAGGCAGCACATGCAAAATGATTTCCCCAGGCAAAATTAAGTCCTGGATATTCTTACAACTTGAAAAACACTTCTGCAAAGTGCATGAAGTCACAGATGGGCTGCTTCTTCCCCAGGAGCCTTTGGGTGCTTTGCCCTACATACATCACGAGCAACGGGACACGAGCTAATGGCATTAAAGTTAAACTGATAGCAGCTAACCACATCTTTGCTATTTATTAAATTGTAATCTCTTTTTCTGGCTGCCTTGCTCTCCCTTTTCTCGATCCCAGTCTCTCGGCTGATAACGTATCGCGTTTCTCATCGCTGGCCAGAGCGCCGCTTCCAGATAAATCTCGGAGGCGCATCCTGCCCTCGGAAGCCGGGGAGCCCCCGGCCCGGCCGCGCTGACCGCCGGGAAGGCGAGCGGGAGCCTCCCGCCGGCTCCGCGGATTACCGGGCGCTTGAGGGAAGGCAGACCCTGCCGGCTGTGTTTACTGACAAACTGCTGAAATCCTCCTGACAGCCACAAATATAAGACCCTGATGTGTGAAAACCGGCCCTTCTGCATGGCAGAACCCCCCTTATGAGGAGCAATTCACCTAGGGACAGCTCAAGGAAGGAGCAAACCTGTGTTATTACTTTATTAAAATCATTGGGAAAAAAAATCCCACTGACTAAAATCCGTGTTAGTATTTCATCCTATGGCTTGGTGCTTTCAATCAAGCAGGGAATTTTCTCCTCCTCCTTGAAAAATTTACTGAAGATAAATGGGTGGAAATGAGCCACCAGCCTCCTTTGCACCATCCCAAATTCACGGCACTGCAAATGTACAAAATAAACTCCAAATCCAACAAAGTTTAGTGAGCAGAAACTTTGGTTCTTTGGTTTTTCTACTGAAACTTTGATTTTCTCCCAATAGGGACCTCACACTTCCCTCCTTCCACTGCCATTGGCCTCACTGCGAGAGCTGCCCTCTACTCACCCGGCTGCAGGACAGGGCAGAATTTGACCTTTCTGCTTAATGTTTCTCACATTTTATTAATGGCACAGGCTTCTGTTATTACTCACACCAAATTACCTTGCTTGTAAGCACAGGATTTGTCTTTAACATTGCAATTGTTTCAAGGCTTTTAATATAAAAGGAAAATAAATTAAATTCTACAGAAAGGGGAAAAAAAAGAACCTTGGAAACATCCCTTCCTTTCACAGTTCACACTACCAACCGAAGCCCAAGAAAACCAGAGCAGCTTATTTTCTTCTCTGAAAAATCTAGTGCTAAAAAGTATTTTTACAAAATATTTTAATGCTTCTAGTATGTTATTTTTCTAAGTCAAAATAGCTAAGCTAAATCTTTCACCATAGCCCTTAAATTCAAAAGCCAGGGGAAATTTTTTTCATTAAACCCCTGGACAGCTTTGTTTAAAATATGAAATCAAGTAGCTCCATTTCCTGTCTTCTAAAGAACAGTAAATCAAACATGAGAACGTTCTCCAGAAATACAGTAACGGTTCTATTAAATGGCTTGACAGTTTTGCGCCTCACCTTGCATATTGCAACACACACGCGGGCAAAAAAATGGGGTAAATAGGAGCAGAAAAGCACGGTCGGGGACACCGGGTGGACGGTCCCCGCGTCCCCATCCCAAACGCCCTCCTCATCCTCGCGGCCTCTGCGGCTCCGGTCCCGGCAGCGCCAGAGCCGGCGATTTTCAGAGCGGGAAGCAGGGCGATATTTTTATAAATGCATAAATCTTTTCGAGGCAAAACAAATATAGGGGAAGGAATGTAAACATTATTGTAAAACGCATAATAAAACGTCTGTTTGTTAATTTTGCTCCTGATTATCCGGCCTATCTGGGCTGCGGATGTTGAACCGCTTGCCTTTTTTTTCAACCCCCTTACTCATTTAAAAATAGTTTCCTGCATGTTATATGAATAAGCAAAACCTAAGGTTTAAATCCAGGAGAACTTTGAAGTATGAAACCCATGGTCTATGGGAAACTATGTTTTCATTAATCAAAGTAGATGTTTCTAAAGCCATCAGATTTATCATGACTGGATTTCATATGTGAAACCCAATATACACACAGACATCCACTGCTTGTCCTTGCGGATTAGGCCTGACCTTTCCCTCTCCTTTCCGAAGGATCTGCCTTTCCTCAGCGCTCGGCGGCCCCGTGCGCCGCGGCCGCGGCCAAGGCAGCCTTGACAAAGGCTGGCTCCAACTCGCGGCTCTTTGCGTCGCAGCACGAGGCGGGGGTAAGGTGAAAACACAAATGATGAAGTGCATTTCTTGAAGCCTGCCTTTGCCTCGCGGGCTCACGTTAGCCGCCACGGGCCGGGTAACCTGGTAATACACCTCGCTGCCAAACGAGGGACCTGAGTGTCGCCGGCCGACGCGGCCGCAGCCCCGACGTGAGGGAGAGGACGGGCGAGGAGCGACGGCCCCGGCGGCGGAGGCAGCATGCGGCATCCATACAAAGCTGGGATTCAGGGACAAGAGCGAACGGGCTGCGTGCGGTGTCCTCGGGAAGTTTATGCTGCGGTTTTGTGGGAGCAGAAGGAAGGGGCTCGGCCTGGGAGCGAGAGCGCCGGCTCCCGCACTGCCCCATGCACCAAAACCACCGCTTTCCTCCTCAGATCTCAACCCCTGCCTACCCAGTCTGGTAAAAAGAAGCAGGAGGAGGTGGAGAAAAAGGAGGAGGAGGAAGACAAGGAGGAAGAGGAGGAGGAACAGAAGGGGATGGAGAAGGGCTAACCAAGTGCTACTGCAGCACAAATCAACTTACAACAAACAAGGATCTAAGAACAAGTCCCACATTGTAGCTTTTACTTCTTTGTTGCCTTTTGAATGAGTCCTCCTATTTTCCCTATCTGTGAGTATTTACTGCTTGGCTGCAGTTGGCTACAGGAGATATCTGTTATATTAGTTCAGATGAAAAGGCACCATTTAAGTAAATGCAAAACTCAACTACAACTTAAAGAACACAGTGAACTGAAACATAAAATGAGCCTATAATTTTTTTTCAATACCAGGTAATTTAGTATAACCTATTTAGCAAGCAAAAAGCAAAAAGAGACGGGAACTACAGCGTAACTAGGTGCTATTATGTTTTTTAAAACTAAATGCCTCCTTATAATAAAAATAATTACCAGGAAAATTGTTATTTCCCCTTGAATCTCAAGATCTGTGCATATTTCGACTCTTTACAGCTTTTCAAGATCAGGAGGCCTGGAAAAAATCAGGAACGCTACAATCAGCCCCAAGTCCCCCCCTAGGGATTAACATTTCTTTACATTTAATCCTGATGTAAAATAGAATATTGTGACAAACGGAGAGCTCTGAACAACTACTGGGGCTTCCCGAGGCGGTTCGGGGGGATGCACCGCACATCAGAAACTTCACCTGACGTTCTTCCAACCTCGAGGTCTGGAAATTTCATTAAAAAAGGATTCACAAAGGATCTTCGGCACTTTTTAGATTTTGCAGAGTTGGAAATGTTTTCTTGTGGTATTCACATACTTACAGTTCTCAGCCCCGGTTAAAATTAGAAAATCCAGCGACTTTTTTCTCCAAATAAAATTTCCCACTCTCCAAAGAACTAGGACTTAGGTAAGCTTGGAATAAAACGATGACCAGGATTTTCAGCAGTGCCCAGGCAATGCAGACACACGATGAATCCCATTAAATACCAGCGAGGGCTTTTTAGATAAGTCTTTGTCTCATCTCAATAAAACTTGCCATTTTATGACGCTCAGACCTAACCATGTCTTTGCACTGGCTTCACTACAAGAGGCTGCCTGAGATGCGCAGGGGGATTAGGTCCCCGCGGGCTCGCTATGGGGATACATTTTGTGGTCCATGATACTGCATACTCCTTTTTATTTGCATGGCATTCCTATGCCAAACAATTGCTTCGCTCGCTGAAAAGGCCTTGCAGGCATACCCTGCCTCAGCAACA